ATCACAGAACAGCGCTGCAGCCAGTGGTGCCTGGGCCTCTACACCCTGCCAGGAATATGATCTTGTCATAGACACTTACACATGCCCCCTAATGAGCTACATTGATAGGAGCCAATAAGAACACTAAAATAGATCTCAGCACACACCCATGGGCCATTCTCAAAATAGTGCTGTGGTGAACTGCACTCATCCTAGCAGGACATGAGTAGCAGGAGGTTCTGCAGAGTGAGGTGGGCAGGCTGCCTTAAGGAACGTGGGCAGAAAGTACATACATGGTAAAAAGCTAACTACAGAGGAAGTCTTGGCATTGCCTGGCTCTGCTATAGTTTGAGAACCCTCAGGACCCTGCCCATCCCCAGAGGAGAACCTGGGGGAGCAAAAAGAAGACTGATGGGCCCTCATGGCCTCTTTGGAAAACACTCCCTTTCCTAACAGATTATCGTCAAGGTTCAGGGAGAGGGTGTTGGGTTCATGGTCTCCCATCCTGGGTTTAGGACTCCAAGTGCAAAGGCTCCAACTTAAGGAGGGGCCTATTGCCACTCTCTGGACAGCTCCCAGGCCATCTGGGTTTTTCATTCTCTCATTCTTCTTCATTGACACTGGAAAGAAATAATCCATGGGTGAAAAGAGGGGTGTTCCTCAAAGATATTACTGTGGACTTAACCTCGAAGGAATGGGATATTCTGAACACTGCTCAGAGCATCCTGCATAGAGATTTGATGCTGAGGGGCCACACCCAGCCCTTTGGGGGAAGACTGCACTCCCCTATGAATGAGGGCCTAGCCTTTGAAATGACTCGAGTCATTGACTAAGAACTATGAAATATGCACCTGAGCCAGGGGTGCACATTTGGTGGATTGTGTTTTTGCTCTTTATTTTCCAGGGAAAAGTTTTATTTTCAAATCAAGTTTATTAAAATATAATTTACATATATAAATTGTACCCATTTAAAGTATACAGATTGATGAGTTTGGAAAGATATGTTGCACGTGTGTCACCATCACCACAATCAAGTTAGAACGTTGCCATCACTCCCCAAAGTTCCTTGTGATTTTTTCCAGTCACACCGGTACCCACCACCTTGCCCTCAAGCAAGCACTGATTTACTTTCCATGATTATAGATTAGCTTTGCTTTGTCTAGAACATCATATAAATGGAACCATACAGTATTGCCCGGGCTGACCAGCAGCCCCTGAACGACGGATGAACAGATTACTCCAACACAGTTTCACTGTTGGGGAGAGGGGTAAGGGGCTTGCCTGGCTCAAGGGTCCTAACAGCCTCGATTGCCTGCCTCATTAGACTTTTATTGGAATTTTTATCTTTAGGTACAATCAGTAGGGTGAGTAATCTTGGGAGGACACATGTATTTACATTGTCCTCTAGGCAGGGGCATCCAGGGATTAAGCATAAGGATTCCAGTAAACACCCGGGGGTCTACACATGCACAGACTTGTTTGGAAAGGTCAAAGAATAATTAGGGGCACCGCCTTCGACACTCCCCTAAGTCTCCCCTAAGTCGGAATTCCGATGAACAGGGCAGGCGGCCTTCCACACACTTCCATTTTCTCAGAATGTCCTCCTTACAAACTTTCCAACCAAGTCTCATGTGCTCCCTAACACAGTATGCCACCTTTGAGTCTGGCTTCTTTTATTTAGTTTAATGCTTTTTATATTTATCCATGTCATTACATGTTTCAGAAGTTCCATTCTTTTTATTGCTGAGTAGTATTCTGTTGTATGGATGTACCATAATTTACCCATTTACCAGTTGATGGACATATACGTTGTTTCCAGTTTTTACTCTTATGAATGAAGTTACTGTGAACATTCATGCATAAAGAAAAAAATTCTGCAGTTCTAGCAAGTTCAATAGCTAGAACAGCTTGGCAGGTGATAAAGAGAGGACTCAAGTAGTTGATGAGCTGAATTCTGAAGAGCAACTGGTTTTATAAAAAGCAGCTATAACCAAGTTGGCGGGGGTGGAGGGGTGGGAATGGGGGTGGGGAAGAGCCTGTATTGAGCTGAGAGGACTGCTGATTAGGTGTCTTTCAATTGCATGGGAAAATGGATTGCAAAATCATTAGCAGGACAGAATAATACATACACAGGCGTTTTCTTTTGACATGGGCTAGAATTGAGCCAATACTGGTAGACTCAAACTTTTCCTTGCTACTTCTTCAGGATATGTTTGAAGCCTGCCAGGCAGCATGGACAAACAACTCCAGAGTTAGAAAGACAACTGGTTGAGTAAGGATAAGTAACCTTGGCAATGACTGCCTACCTTAAGGGCTGTTAGGAGGATTAGATGAGAATCTATATAAATCACTTAGCAAGTGTTTAATGAATAAGGAGGTCTCAGTAGGCATAAATTACAGTACTTAAAAAATCATGTAATACCGTTGACTTAAGTAGAATCCAAATATATTCTTTAGGAAGTTGAAATATGTTAATGTATCTTTAATTACATGGTGAATCCTTCCTATATTATATATATAACTATTGAAGAATTGAATTATTAATCAAAATCTGGTTAGTTTTTTTAAAAATATATTTTTATTGATTTCAGAGAGGAAGGGAGAGAGAGAAAGAGATAGAAACATCAATGATGAGAGAGAATCATTGACCCGCTGCCTTTGGCACACCCCCTACTAGGGATGGAGCCAGCAACCCAGACATGTGCCCTGACTTGGAATCCAATGGTGATCTCCTGGTTCATAGATAGGTGCATGCTCAACCATCGAGCCACACCCCCCGGGCATTGTTAGATTTTTAGAAACATATCTTCTCAGTCACGAAAAGTTCCAGTGGCTGCTACATTGGCCCATGTTGTCCTGCAGCAGTTGTCTAGTTCCAAAGCTCCCACCAGATACTTCTCAAGCCTGAAGAATGGGGTTTGTCACTAAATCTGATTCATGAGGACTTCCTCAGGAGCCGATTCTGGGTGTCTGTGGCCTGCAAACTATACCTGCAATCTTTCTCAGAGGTGCCCACTGCGCCTCCACATCCTCTGAAAGGGTCCCTGTGGTGGAGTGGAATGAGCAGGGGTGGATTTGAATACTGACTGTATTGCTCCTCCCACCTCCCACACCCCTAGCACACACTTGAAGTCTCTTCCCTGAACAAGCCTCACTTTCCTTATTTCTACTGTGGACTAACCTCATCCCACTAGGCTGTCAGAATTTTCATGACGTTGCAGTGCCAAGACCGGTCAATGAATGCTTGTTGACTGTGTTAATTGCATGTTTTATCTTACAGTCTTTCGTATTTCCCACCATTTCCAAATTCCCCTGGCTGCATGCTAGTATAAGTTAAATGAAAAGGAGCTTGCTTGAAAGAGTGATTCGGGAATCTCCCTGTAAACAGTCAATATTGTAAAAACTGTCCCTGAATGTTCACCTTCCAGGAAAGGTGGGGCTCAAGTTAGCTCCTGGGTTTGAAGTAGAAGAGGAAATTCTTAAGTTATTGGAGCCACACGTGTAGCCTTGGCTTCAGGGAGGTCGTTACCGAAGACCAAGGGCTGAGCTCGCCGCTCTTGCTCCCATTCTCCCTCCCCTTCCTGCCCTCTCCCCAGGCCCTTCACCCACCCGTTCCCAGAGCTGGGCAAACCCTGGCTCCCCGCGGCGCCCATTGGTTGGTTAGCTTTTATTGATCTGGTCTGAGCGCTCTCCTGGCTTCCGGCGCGGCACCAGGTGCTGATCATTTTGCTCTAGTGGTCTCTAGAAGAGGGGCAGGTTTTTCCTCTTCCCCGGACCCGTGCGGATCGTCGCTGGCGGCGTGGGCCCCCGTCCTATGGATGGGTCGGGTTCTGGGGCTCACCCCTTTGCGCACCGGGTGCCCACTGGGGTGGTGAGGAACCAGCCCCGGCTGAGGTCTGCATGGGCAGAGCGCTGCGCGTTTCAGTCCACGCGCGCCTCCCAGGCCCGGCCTGAGCGGAGGGGATGCGAAGGCGGTCGCCCTCCACCTTTGCCCTCCTTCCCCCGTGTGCTCTCCGTATTGACACCCCTGGGAACTTCCGGGGGGAACAGCATCTCCGGTGAACTCCGAGGTCTTTGGACCTGTTGCTTGAGGGATCAGTGGCGTTTGAATGCCCGCGTTACTCCCATTGGAAGAACGCAGGCCCGGCCCACCTTGAACTGCTGGTTTGGACCAGGGCGGGCTCAGGTGCTCCAATCGCCTTGTTTTGTTTTGTTTTGTTTTGTTTTGTGTGTGTGTGTGTGTGTGTGTGTGTGTGTTCGCGCGCGCGCGCGCAATTTTTTAATTTTTTTTTTACAATTATGTCAAACCCAGGTGGCTTCTTAAGTGTTCTAAACTAGAAGATGGCACTACTGTTTTTCCTCACTTTCTAAAAAAAAGAAAGGGCGGTGTTTTTAAAAAAATCTGTCTTAAGATATCTTTTTGTCTTTAATATAGTCAAGCATGGCTGTTTTGAAATTGCATCTTTATTGAGGAAGGAGGTAAAAGCAAAAGCTAGAGAGACCCGGGAATGTGTTATTTTGTGTATGCGATTGTTTGGACCTTCAGAATTTTCCTGTGAAACACAAGAATAGTTAAAATAGATTCTAAGTAGCACGAAACATAGATGGCATTCAAGAAAAATGTAAGCTTTAGTCGGTTTGGCTTAGTGGATAGAGCCTTGGGCTGAAGGGTCCCCGTTTTGATTCTGGTCAAGGGCACATGCGGGGATTGTGGGCTCCATCCCCAGTGGGGGGCTTGCAGGAGGCAGCCAATCAATGATTGATCTCTCTCATTATTGATCTCTCTCCCCCCCCTTTCCCTTCCTCTCTGAAATCAATAAAAATATATTAAAAAAAGAAAAATTTGAAAAGTAAAATCAGAGTTTTTATTGGGAAGAATGTAATAAAACTCATCTCTCATTTTCAGTTAGAAGGTCTGGTCTATGATCACTTTGGCTTGTAGTTCTGTAATGTACTTACTACTAAAAAGGGGGAAAACAGCTTTTCATCTTTTCTCTCCCCCATTCTGTTTTATTTTTCAGTCCAGAGCACAACCACCAGAAGAGAACAAAAGGAAGCCAGTTTTGGGGAAACTTGGCAATCTGTTCGCCGCAGGAAGGAGAAGGAACACCAGAAACGGGTTAGAGAGTCCCACCAGCTCCCATGCCAAAGCAGCCTCTCCCAAAGACGCAACCTCCTCCCAGCTCCCTGCGCGAGAGGATGAGAAGAGGGCGTCCCCCAGCAGCCCAGCAAAGCCAGCCGACAGGTGCGGGGAGGGCTTCCCCCAGGAGCAGCCCCAGGGGCCTGAGGGCGAGCGCTCTGAGCCCTGTGTCCAGGTAGCCCCCCCGGACACCCACCTGTCGCCTTGCCCGAGCAGCCGTGCAGCGGCGGCGGGGCTACTGTGCCCTGGAAATGAATCACCTCAATTAGAACCTGTGCACTCAGAGGGAGAGCCCTTCCCAGATGCCACGGCCGCTGCCAAGCAGCTGCATTCCTCTCTAGAGAATTCCCCCAGGCAAGAGGACGCAGAGACGCTGGCCCGCAGTCCGGGGGAGGACGCATTGCCCGGCGCTGCTGGCGCACAGGAGGCGGTCCAGGGGGGGGGGGGAGTTCCA